GCCGCCGGGCCGGCCCCCCGCGGCCCCCACTCCCGACGGGTGCCCGTCCGCCTCCTCCTTCGCGTTGTAGTTCACCGCCATGGGGCTGAGGAGGGGGAGCAGACGGCGCTCCGCTCGGGAACCGGGGCCGCCTCCGCTCGGGCCAGGGACAAGTGGGAAAGAACTGCGCCTGCGCGCGGAGAAGGGGACAGTTCCGCAGCCGCGGAGCCACTGACAACAACCAAACGTCACCAGCTCCCCTCACCGCCGGGTGACCGAGGACAACTTCCGTCCACCCCCCATAAACCTGCGCATGCGTCGCCGCAATGGGCGAGGCTGGGGCTTGGATCTGGGGCGCACAATCAATGACGATAGGTTCCATGGTCCCTGCTTCCGGCACAGCCGGCACTCCCTGCCCATGAGCCAAAACAGCGCATGCGCACTGAGAGCGCGAGCGACTGCTGGAAGCGTAGTTGGCAGGAGCAGCGTGCTGGAGATACTCTCAGGCACGCGGAATCTCTCCTCCCTTCCAGGTGGGGACATTCGCTCCAGTGGGAGGCTGCACGTGACTGCGCTGCACGTGTCAGTAGGTTGTGGCACGCTGTGTCCTGTACTGCCCACCTGTGGAACTACTTGCCAAAGGATGTTGTGAAGACTAGGGCTACATCTACACTGCCCCTTTTCCGGAAGGGGCATGTAAATTTCACCAGTCATCGTAGGGAAATCCGCGGGGGATTTAAATATCCCCCGCGGCATTTAAATAAAAATGTCCGCCGCTTGTTTCCGGCTTTTAAAAAAGCCGGAAAAGAGCGTCTACACTGGCCCCGATCCTCCGGAAAAAGTGCCCTTACTTTGAAGTAAGAATAAGAGCCTCCGGAAAAGGTACTTTGAAGTAGGAATAAGAGCCTCCGGAAAAGGGCGCTTTTTCCGGAGGATCGGGGCCAGTCTAGACGTTCTTTTCCGGCTTTTTTAAAAGCCGGAAAAAAGCGGCGGACATTTTTATTTAAATGCCGCGGGGGATATTTAAATCCCCCGCGGATTTCCCTACGACGACTGGTGAAATTTACATGCCCCTTCCGGAAAAGGGGCCAGTGTAGACGTAGCCACGGATTTTAACAGGATTCAGAAAAGAGCTAGAATTCATGAAGGTTAAAATTCATGGCGGTTAAGTCCATCAAGGGCTATTAGCCAGGATGGGTAGGAATGGCGTCCTTAGCCTCTGTTTGGAAATGGATTTCATGAGAGGGATCAAGGGCGGCCCTAGTCTAGCTGCCAGCAACAGGCACCCTAGGCGAACCATGCAATCGGCGCCCCCATCTCCAAACCCCTCAACAATATTGCACCACCATTTGGCACCCCATATAACTTGGCGCCCTAGGCGACCGCCTAGTTCACCTATATGGACAGGCCACCCCTGACTGAGGGATCATGATGATTACCAGTTATGTTCACTCTTTCTGGGGCATCTGGTATTGGCCATTGTAATCAGACAGGCTGCTGGGTTAGATGGACCCAGTATGGCTATTCTTATATTACACTGCATTAGGAATGGCAGTGGTTGCCCTGTGCAGACGCACAGACACGTTAGGGTGTGTGTGCATGCATGCGTAGGACCGAATCTCGCTTTGTGCCTGTGTGAGCTGCCCAAGGTCGATCTGGTTAGAAGCGGAATAGGGCTGCTGGATGGCTGGGCCGGGGGGGGGGGGGTGGATAACATTCCCCACTCTTGTTATGCCTGCCCATGGCACCACTCCATTCTGTCCTTTCCCCCCATGTCCCTGCCCCGCTCCATCCACAGCCCCATTGCACTCCCCGCCCCCTCATTACATCCTAAGAGCAGAGAGAAATTCTGCCCCTAGCCACGGTCCCTGGGCCACAGCCCTCAAGCTCCAGCACAGAGCTAGAGTGCCTCCACTCAGTTGATATTTTTATACTGTTTTTAAACCCAGATAAAAGTTTTACCCAACAGAAAGTTAAAACTACTATTAAAACAGAACTATTTCAGTAGTGCTGCTGTATTTTTCAAAAAGCTGTCAGGTTTGTGACAGATTAAGTCAAATTAGTTCTTACCTCAGATGATTATTCATTGACAACAAGTAATGTGTCTTTAAGACAATGGGCTTGGTTCACCACTATGTTAATTCCAATTTTGTGCTGGTGTAACTTGATAGAAATCAATGACACATGTATGGGTCTGATTCTTATTGCTGTTTTACACTGGAAGTTAATATTTCTTCAGCTCTGTGTAAGGAAATTGAAATATACTGTGTAATTTCAGGATGTCATAACTTTCCCATATGCATCTCTGTCTTATTCTGCAGCTTATGCTGCAGAATCCTCCTTTTCTCACTCCCAGCAGAATCGTGTACCAGAATAAAGTTTTTCCTTTAAAAAAACGGCAAGAAATCCAGCTTCAATGGTTGTACAATAACCTTGAAAAGATTATCTGAATGACTACTGCTCCATTATCTGCTGCTGAAAAGCCCAGTGAGATGTTTACATTTACTAAGGTGTAATTGCTAGCTATTTCACTTCTGAGCATTTTAGCAAAAAAACCCATTAATATGCTTGACTCAAAATCTCAAACCAGATCCCCAAGTGACAAGAAACCCAGTAGTCCCTATTCAGCAGCCCAATGTTCCAGTTTCCTCAATCACTTTACGCTACCATTATACTCTAACAATAAAAAAATCTGAAATATGGGGAAAATTTAAAATAAAATTAATTTATTAAAAAAATAAATAGCATGAGGGATGATATACAGATTATGTATTCATATCTATAATTCATTTTAAATGTAGCTGCCACTGAATTTTCATTATGATTCTTTAGATTGCTGTATTAATCATCAAAGGGCCACTGATGTAAAATTTAAGTTCATTTTACAGTGGCATACATGAAATCTTGTTATATGATCGTTTGGCTGTCTTTAAATCTATATAAGGAGATTGTATTGTGATAGTTGATGGTATAAACTCAAAGGTAGAAACAATGTCATCATTAATTTTGCCAGATGATTATCTTTCTTCAGAGCTTTGATAATCTCTGGATCAGTTTTATTATGCATGTAGTATACACTGTGATATTGTAATGAAATACCAGCCTAAAGAAGGTAACTACAAAAACCACGCAATTTCTTTTTTTTTTTTTTTTAGCAGTAGCAATTTCTATAAAGTAAAACGAAAAAGGTGAACTTCAATACTGTCAGCCTTATGGCACTTGTGTCACAATCCAAACACTTGGTTACATTTGCATTCTTGTGAAAATTTATTTGTTACAGTGTGATGAAAATTGATTTTTTTCAGTACAGGCAGAAGTAAAAACACATTGTAAAATAATCATCATCAAGGTTCATGAAAACTTGTTTACAATGTTTAAAATGAATCTTTAAAATCAGATAGTAGTCCAGAGCTTTGGTTTGTTAGCACTCATTTTTATGTTGAACCTCTGCACAGTGCAAGAAAAATTCTATAACAGTATACCCTATATGGCAGTCCCGTGAGCATTTAGTCTCTCAGTCTAATGACAGGAAAATGTGTTTCACACTTTTTTTGTGTTTTTTTAAAGCACTTTTGGGATTAAAACTTAACTTTTTTTTTACTGTCTTTAATACAAAAATATCAATACAGAGAATTTTGACAGTGTATTCTACAAATTAATGTGCAATGGACAGTAGCAATTGGAAGGTTTGGGGAAAGTTACATTAATGTGTTTTATAAAAATAAATTATATAGCAAACACCACCAAACAAAATCAAGCAGGTGCCTCATGTTTTGCAAAATAAGAGTAACATTCAGTTGACACCTTGACTGTTTTTCTCTACATATTTTCAAAGTATCAACAAGGCCATTACTTTTAAAAACTCTACAAATAATTCAGAATAATCCAAAGAAGTTCTAAAATACTTCTGTAAGTGATCAGTAGCACAGGAGACCATGGTGACAGTGGTAGAGGGCATCAACAGTGATCCATCCAACTGGTGTGGAGAGGAAGTGCACACATACAGAATGCATTGCGTATTGTATCTCATCTAGAGTTCATGCGTAACTGATGAATGATGACACTCTCTAAGAGAAAAGAGCAAAACATTTGCTATTATATAATTGGAAATATAGGTAATTTTAATACAATTACTAGAATTTGGCATTTTTATAGTGCTTTTTGTCAAACTTTTAGAGACCTTAATTAAACCTTACAAATACACTTCAGTGAGGTAAGATTCCCATATAAAGACCAGAGACTAAGATCAACAAGAAATGTCCTGGACAGTTTTATAGTGGGAATATGGGTTGGAGCCACAGATATGAGTTCTAATTCCTGGCTCTAAGTTCAGTGCTCTGACCACATCTCTGTTACTATACAAAAAATGTAATTTAACTAAAAATATATCTAACATTTGCATATTGACTGTATTTTCCTTTTTCATAGGCTGCTTTTCCTCTTAAGCACAGCTCATATAAAGACATATTAAGAATTACTTTACATAGTACAGTAAAACTCCAATAGTCCAGCATCCAATAGTCCGGCACTCCCGATAGTCTGGCATCAAAATGGCAAGAGCCTAGTGAGTGAGCTTCAGCAAAAAATGAGTCACAGGGTAACAGCAGCAGCAGCTGAACTGAGCAAAAAGGGTAAAAAAGGCTTACAAAAACCTAAAACATTACAGTATACTGTATACAGTATGTACAATAAAAAGGGTTAGGAACACTTTATATACAGCATATAATGTATACAGTATATATATATATATATATATAAAACCAGTTTATAGTACCTCCTGATAGTCCGGCATATCTGATAATCCGGCACCACCTAGGTCCCATAGGTTCCGGATTATCGGAAGTCTACTGTAGTCCCATTGAAGTCACTCAGGATACATCTACACTACAGGGTTTTTGCGCAAAAACTCGCAGAGCGTCCACAACTCAAGCATGTTTTTACGCAAGAATATTTATAATAGAATGGCAGAATTGAGGACTTTTTGCGGTGTAGGTATACCTCTTTCTATGAGGAATAACTCCCTTTTGTGCAAGAGTTCTTGCACAAAAAGGTATGTGTGGACGCTCAACACGAAAGAGCCTATCGGAAAAAACACAGATACTCTGCTGACCATTCTGTTAATAGCAATCAGAGCTTTCTTGTGCAAGAGCGTCCATGCAGTCTGGACATGCTCTTGTGCAAGAAGTTTTTGCCAGTTCTTCCGCAAAAAGCTTCTTGCACAGAAAGCCTGCAGTGTAGCTGTAGCCTGAAATCCTCACATGTTTAAGCACTTACTTGCATTCTCAACTTTAAGTAAGCAACTAGTCTACTTGACTTAA